GCAGCGACTTGCCCAAACAACCCTGTAGGACAGCCTGTCTCTGGGTTCTGTTGTTTTGCCGAACTGCCTCGCGATACGATCTCTTGGCGACGGTCGTGCATCTCGGAGCCCTGCCTCGTTTTTTCGGCCGGAGTTCTTGACCGATCAAATGTTTTTTCTCGACCCTTGCAGACGTGGCGCGAAGGCAGGCAAGGATCTTCCTGAGCGCGCAGTGCGCGGCCTTCCGAACGCCGAGCCGTCTGTGGGACAGCCGGCGCGCCCACGCTTTCGCCCATGTGGAATCCACGCAGCGAGCGCACTCCTCGTGTTGACGCAGGATCGCCTGGCACACGTGGTCGACGTCGTGCTCGGAGTACTCCGGCTGGCGGCATGCCTCGAACAACTTATACGCAGGCTGGTTGAAAGCGTGGGCCAGCCTGTACCAAACGTCACAGGCGACTCGGAGCAGCGACAGACAACGCACGTACTTGTCGGCTGTGGAGAGGGCGTAGTCGCCCCATCCGTCGCTACTGCATGACATGGCTAGCGCCGTGGTCGCGGCAAATGCCCGGGCCCCCCGGCGCCCGCTCACGAAGCTGAGGTTCTGTCACTGCTGCGCGCTCCTTGCCGCGCATGCGAGCGGCCATCTGCTCAGCGACCGCTTCGTCAGAATTCGGTGCGGAAGTCGCCGAGTCCACGAATGCTTTTGTAACGCTCTCAGCCTTGAATGCCGCATTGATAACATGCTGAATTATTTGGTTGAGAACCGCGGCTTTCTCCAGGGATCTGGCATTGGGGTCGTCCTCCATCCATGGCACAGTGTCGCCCCCGCGCACTTTGGCCTTCGCCGCCGTCGCATCACCGGTGCACGCGGCGTTTGCCAATCTTTCCCTGGCTCGCTTGACGTCCGATGGCCTGTGCATCCGTTGGAAAGCCCGCATGAGTAAGTCGTGTTCCGACCGCCCCCGGAGGGCCCACGCAATAGCTGAATCGAACCCCTTCCATCTGTACATCAGCGGGATTGTCAGGCGCCCTGCAATGCTGCAGGTGATGACCCCAGTGACCTCTCTTAAGCTATTCGCGCGGGACGTGCAGCCCAAGGGGCGCGTGGCGCGTCCCTGGCAGTAGTGGATCACTTTCTGTTCTCTCCAGTCTCCGTTGTCAGCAGCGAGGATCCGCTCTTCCATGGCGCTGTCTAGATTCTGAGCTGGGCGTGTAAGGCGTAGGATTCTTCGCGCATGCGACTTCCACTCCTCATGACCTTCGGGAAACCGACCGTCGTGCGCCATAACAGAATCCCAATCATCCGCTATCGAGTCAGCTCTCGCCTTCTCAAACAGTTCATGCGACCGCCCAGACTCCAGAATGTGGCCCAGTCTGACCAATGGCGCTGATAAGCCCAAATCCTGCACGACAGGCTTCATTCCAAGAACAGCACTGTGGGATACGCAGCATACCGACATCATAGTCTGGTGGCGCTCTTCCTCTCCACCAGGCGCCGTCGCATTGGGCAGCCGCAGGGCGTCCTCTTCCAAACGCAGGATGCAATAATTCACAATCAAATTGCCCCGGCAAGCTGTGCAAGCAAACCAGGCGTTGGAGTTCTGCATCGCCGACTGGAGGTCGCCATTCGGGTCGGGCTTGCCACCTGGCCCCCCACCTGTGAGCGCGCGCCATCTCTTCCAGTGGTGCCGAATCGTCGCAGCATTGGCTTGTGGCAGCGGCTGGGCTGGTATATGCACCTCTACGCCGCGCAACAACGGTCCTCTAGGTGTTTCGCAGCACGTAAAGAACTGCTCACAAACGTTCAGGACTGGCATATGGGAGTTCTTCCCCCGCGTTGACAATGCTTCTTGAATTGCTGCGCCGACGGCGTCTGCATCGTCGTCGCTCTTGGACGTCGGGCGCCACATCCACATCGAGGCATCGTCCATAACATTGGTGGTAAAAATCACCACTGCGGAACCGCCGCCCCCGTCATCTACCGCGCGAGCGATGCCCCGAGCCTGCGCGTGCACATGTGATACCAAACCCCTGTCTAGCAACTGCGCGTGCTGCACCAGTCGGTCCGACGTGGGCATGCTGACGGCTGCGCCACTGATCAAGACATGTCGGCCGTGTCCCCTTCCAGCTTCGCCCTCGCCAAACACGGCGTCTGCCACGCGATCCGCTCTCGTGGGGCGCAGGCACTTCGAGAGATTGTCGCGCTGCTCGTCAGCCACGCGTCGCAAGTGCTTCTGTCTGCCAGCCGATATCTTCACCTTGGTGCTCGGGTCGTGCGAATGCCCCGTTGATCGCCCTCGTCGGCCGCCAATGGCCCCGCGCCCGCGGCCTCGCCCGCGCCCCCTGCCGCGCCCCCTCGCCGGAGGGGCGGCCGCAGAGGGGGGCGCTGGGTCTGGCAGCGGCGGCGGGGGGGCCCGGCGCATCATCTGAGCGGCTGCTCCAAAGATGGCTGAACATACGTGAATCTACGTCGAGGGCGCCTCGGGCCAAAAAGGCTACGCAATGGCGCGCGCAGGTGGGCGGCGACGGCGATGGGCGCGACTGCGTTTGCTCAAGTGCCGAACTGACGCATTCACCTGTGCCCTTACTTGTGTAAAATGCATTCGAGCGTTGCTCAGGTTTTGATTTTGAGCAGACCCTGAAATCTCCCAGCTACCAATTGAATTGGACACTGCGGGCGCTTCAAGAAGGGGGTCCAGCCCCCAGGAACTTATCGGTTGATCTCCAAGCGCTCATTCCTGCCATGTCTCATAAGAAGAATCTGCTCGGCGACGAAGCGGCCCCTCGACAGGAATTTGCCTCTTTGGTCGGCGAGGCGCGTCTCGATAGGAACTGCGTTTGAAGTATCTCGCTCCGCATCTGAGGCAATGCGCTGCTAAAGCGGCAGTAGAAGGAGAGAGGCGAGCGAGAGAGAGAGAGAGAGAGAGAGAGAGAGAAAAGAGAAAGATATAACACTGTCCCACTCAACCACTGGCGACCCCGGGGCGGGAAGGGGGAGAAGAGGTGGGGCAGCAGGAAAGGAAGTAAGGGGAGGGCGAATAGGAAGAGGAGGAGGAGGAAGGAGGAAGGAGGAAGCGGAGGAGAGGAACAAGGCGACCACGACGACGACGGCGGCGACGAGGATGACAGCAGCCAGCTGTAAAAGTCCTTCGCGAATATTTCGGTCTGGAAGCCTCTTGGGTGTCTCGCGAAGCCATCTTGGGGCCCTCGTCGGACAATTTTGATGGCACTTGGGGCTCCCCTGGGGCCCTCTTGGGGGCCTTGGGCGCCCTCTTCGGGGCCGTCCTGAAGGCCATCGATTCAAAAAGTGCGTCCATCATTGGCCTTGCCCCGTCGTAAGACCAAAACAACAAAACCGCGCGTTGGGGCCCACATGGGGCGCTCTTGGGCGCTCTTTGGCCCGTCTTGGATCTTGCGCTCCAGATTGGGCTCTCTTGGGCTTCCGCGCAGCCACCTGGAGGCCTCCGAACACCACCGAAGCAAACGGGCGAGAAGGCAACAACGCTTTTCCTATTTATTTCTGAACGGCGGTGGGCTCTCTCTCTCTCTCTCTCTCTCTCTCTCTCTCTCTCTCTCTCTCTCGGAAACATCGTCGAGGGGTTCCGTGCCCACTTGGATCTGTCTTGTGGCGGTCCTGGGGCCGCCTGAATGCGCAGTGAAAGCCATGATTGCCCTTCTTCGGCTGCCTTGCGCCGTCTTGGGCGACACGCTGGGCCATCTGGGGCCGCGCTACAGCCGCCTAGGGACAAGTAGAAACCTCAGACACCTCGAGGGGCGAGCCGCCCAGACCCACAGGGCGGACGGGGAGGAGAGGTGCGAACCCCTCCCCAAGTGAGAAAATCCGGCTTTGAAGAGCGAACTCCCTAAACCACCTACGCCCAAAGGGCTGCGGGGACCCTGTCTCGCCGCGCACGGCAAGCCGAAACGCAAACGCTACGACAGGATTGCCGCTGCATTGCCGAAACTTCGGGCACGCATCGCCTACAGATCTGCCGGTTCACAGCCGATGCTTTCTATCAACTTGGGCGGGGGGCGTCTCCACAATGCAAAGCAGCGCAGCCTCTGTTGGTTTCTGCATGCGCGCGCACTTGAAACCAAAAAAAACTCGCCCGAAAAACATCAAAACAACGCGCGCATTTATGCCAGGTGCTTGGGCAAAGCTTTATCCAGGGCAAACGCATATTTACCTTGAGTCTAGGGAGTTCCCCTTACAACCACCACCACCACTACTACTACTACTACTACTACTACTACTACTACTACTACTACTACTACTACTACTACTACTACTACTACTACACTACTACTACTACTACTACTACTACTACTACTACTACTACTACTACTACTACTACTACTACTACTACTACTACTACTACTACTACTACTACTACTACTTACTACTACTACTACTACTACTACTACTACTACTACTACTACTACTACTACTACTACTACTACTACTACTACTACTACTACTACTACTACTACTACTACTACTACTACTACTACTACTACTACTACTACTACTACTACTACTACTACTACTACTACTACTACTACTACTACTACTATTACTACTACTACTACTACTACTACTACTACTACTACTACTACTACTACTACCTACTGCGACTAGGACTACGACTACGACGGCTGCTGCTACTACTGTTGCGAATTTGAATAATACTACTATTATTCATAGGATTCGAAATAAGACACATCAGGATACATATACTTATAAAACAAGTAATCATACATTAAGGTAGTGCTATTCATATCGCATGGTATTGATAATACAAGTATACTCGCCATCATAGTAATAATAATCATACAACGAAGAAAAATCATACTCAGAAGAAGAAGAATGGTGATAATAACAATAATACTAATACCATGATGAATCATAATCAGAAGATGGGGCGCCACTGTATCTGGGGAGGTATCATGGCCCCGGCCACGAGATCCCCACTCCCAATCATCCCCCCCCCTCTTGGACGTCCCCCCCCTCCAGGCGCCTCGGCGGGCTTGTCGCGCCCCTCCCCAACCTGCGAGACCGCGTCGCCTGGGAGGCGCGGCGGGCGCCGGGGCTCCCCCCCTCTTCCCCAGATCTGTGCGACGGGGACACATTCAGGTCGGGCCTCTCCCCCCACAGGGGGATCTTGGAGGACAATGTTTAAAAATACCCCACAAATACCCCACAAATGCTCCAGTATTATCAAGACAAATCGTCCCCAGACTACTTTTCTTCCTATTTTTGAAAATTCCCCCTGCAGAGGGACAGGCCCGACTTCAGGGTACATCCATACCACCTGCACGGGGAACCGACGTCCCGGGGGGCCGCGGACATACTTTGGCCCCAGGGGGGCCGCGCAGATCCACATCCGCCGCCTGCGGAGGTCCTCGAAGGTCGAATCCCCCAGGGGCTGTGGTTCTGCACCTATCCCCGCCTCGGACGATCTCCCCCGACACGATACCCATCGGTCGGAAGAAGTAGGTAGAAACATGAAGCAGGAAGGCGTTGGAAACAGATTGGGTTTCCGCCCTCCCCCTGAAGAGGAGGGAAGCGGGAAAACCCCTCGACTCTTGAAGTAGGAAGGCGCTCGAAGCAGATTGGAACCTGGGGGTCCAAAAATACCTACTTTCAACCACCGATGGGTACTTGCTGCTCCCGGCGTCGTCCCTCGATAGCGGAAGCCCCGGGGCCCGCCCAGCGGGCCCCCCCGAAGGCCAGCAGAAACCCTGGGCCCGGGAGGAGGAAACACGCTGCCCCCAGGGAGGGGGCCTCTGCACCTCTGGGGCCGCGGATTTGTACCAGCGCCTCGGCGGACGTCTGGGTCCCGCGTTCGGGAGGGCGGGGGGGGGGGGAGCAAGCAGGAGGAGGGAGAAGGGCGGGGCAGGAGGAGGAGAGGAGGGAATGGGGGAGAGAGCATCAGGAGGGAGGGTGGGGCGTGGGGGAGAGGGGGACATGATGTGGACGAGGAGGGGTCTGGGGGAGGATCATGGGGAAGGGGATAGCCGGAAGGGCGAATGGGGGGAGGAGTGGAAACAAGCAGAAGGGAAGAGGGGTTGAACGGGTTGGACGAAGAGGAGAAGGAGGGAGGATGGAGGATAGAGATCGGAGGATCAAGGAGGAGAAAACCATGGAAGGTGGAGAATGGGGAATCTCGGACTGGCCTGTCGAATTGCCACCCGCAAAACCTTCTTGACGTCTGCGTGGGCGGTGCGCCCGTCTCCCTAGCCATTGCAAGTCCAACCTGCCAACAGGATCGGTTGCCTGTGCCGCGGCGTGGTCAAACATCAAAAAGGTCCACGGCCCCCTTCGCGATGTCCAGCCTTGCGTGGCGGTCCCAGCCCAGCGCCCGTCGACGGTGATCCTCACAATCCTCACACACCATCGACGTGCGGACTGAGCTCGGACTTTGCGACCTGATGTGCCTGGCCGGCTGGCCAAGCCCACCGACCGCGAGGGGGGATGTCCAGCATCGGGCTGCCACGCACAGGAGCTGGTGGCCGAGGCCAATGTGACTCGAGTGCCCTCCCCTGGCCCTCCTTCTCGACGGCGAGCGAGGGGGAAAGCGAGAAGGAGAAAGCTTCCTCAGATGGCTGGAAGTCCCCCGGCCTTCTGAGAAGTTTCTAAGCCTTCCCCGAAGGCGCAGAAGACTCCTCTGAAGGCGCGAGGGCCTCTGGGAAGGCCCGCCGCCTTCTGAGAAGGCCTTCCCCTCCTCACTTCCCTCCCTCGCTCGCCGCCGATGGTGGTCGAGCCCAATGTGACTCGGGTGCTCCCCCCTGGCCCTCCTCCTCCTCCTCCTCCTCCTCCTCCTCCTCCAGCTCCTGCTCCTGCTCCCCTGCTCCTGCTGCTCCTGCTGCTCCTCCTGCTCCTCCTCCTCCTCCTCCTCCTCCTCCTCCTCCTTCCCTTGGGCTGCTACCGAACGCTGCGCCAGCTCCGCTGGCCCCGCAGCACTGCGTACACTCGGACCGCGCCCACGAGGCGCGGCGCGCCCCCCTTGGACGTACATCGGCACAGCGGCGAGGGAGCATCCCTCGAAGGACAGAATGGGCGACTTCGGAGACCCTGGACGCAAAAAACGTGCTCTCGTCTCTTGGCGACGCATCTCGCGGCGCCCCCCTTGAAGTACATCGGCACAGCGGCGAGAGAGCGTCCTTCTGAGAACAGAACGGGCGACTTCGGAGACCCTGGACGCAAAAACGTGTTCTCATCTCTTGGCGACGCATCTTTGACTCTTGCCGTTTTCCGCCGAGACTCCGCCGGCTTCCGCCGGCGGAGGCGGCCTCGATTCAGTTCCGCCGACCTTCCGCCGCCCGTCCGCCGAAGAAGAGATAACGGCTCCTTCGATCCTCGAAGGCAAGGCCCTTTTCGGAGCGCCTCATATGTTTCGATCCCCTGAAGTCTCGCACGACATTCCATACCCTCCCACCAGAACGGCGTTGGCAACCGGGCCGAGCTTTACACCAGCTCCGTGCGCTCGCCCTGGACATTTTCTCCCCATCATCCAACGACAGGGGAGGGACTGGCATGTAAAGGAAACATCAACCTGGAATCGACGATACATCGCCGATTGATCGGCAACAGGTGCTCGAGAGAAAATTCCTGGGCGGAGTAGGGCTATCAAAGTCCTATCGACGATCAATGCGCGATTGGGGGTCGATGCGTCCCCCCTATGCCTATCCCCCTCGATCGTTGCCCACGACATTCCCTGTCTTCCTCCCCGTCTTGCCCCCTCTTTCACTGCGCGCACTGTGCAATCCCCAGTGCGCGCAACACAGCAGACGCAACATGCAATCACGTGCGGCTCGTCCTTCTCGCATCGCTTCACTTCACCAACCAGGCAGATCATCAGTGGAGCCCTCGCAGGGAAACAGTGCAATATGAACCTCCTCCTCCTCCTCCTCCTCCTCCCCGTCTCCCTCCCCCGCATTCACTTTTCCTCTCCCTGCGCTCCTCCTCCTCCTCCTCCTCTTCCTCCTCCTCCTCCTCCTTCCTCTCCTCTTTCCCCCAACCATCTTCTCCTCCTCCTCCTACTGCACCTCCTTCTCCTCCTCCTCCTCCTCCTGCACCTATTCCTACTCCTGCTCCCCCCACGCAGGTCGCCGAGCATGGTCAGGGACCCCGCTGTGAGCATCTTGGTCCCCACCGGGTTCACCGCCAGCGCATCCCCGTAGGCGGCGAGGGGACCTCCGCGCCCCACGGCCTCGGCCACTGGTGGCCACGCTGCCCACCCCGGGACGGGACGGGAAGGGCGGAACAAGATAGGGGAAGACGGAAGGACAGTTGAGGAGAGGCCGTATGGTAGATGGGGGGCAGGGAGGAGGGGGAAGGAGGGGAAGACGGAAGGACAGTTGAGGAGAGGCGGTATGGTAGACAGGGGGCAGGGAGGAGGGGGAAGGAGGGGAAGAGTCGAGAAAGACGGAGCAAGGCGGAGCAGGACGAGAAGGGAGGAGCGAGGGCACATGGGGGATGAGATAAGAGGGCAGGGGCTGGTAACTCCAAGGGTGCCACCCAAAGGGTGGACGAATTCGGTAAGGAGCTCGTTGCACAACGTGCCAGCGATGATAAGCGTTACGCGAGCCGACCAGTGCAATCATCCGCCACCGTTCATGCTGCAATTGATGTGTGTCGTGAGCCCATTGTTGTTAGTTCGTTCCGCCTCATGCGGGCCAATAGACAAGGCCCAAGATGGATCCTGCTTCTGGGCCGCATCATGATTCTGCCGTTCCCCTCACGCAGAAGTGCCAGCATCACGGTTTCCTGAGGACCGACTTTACGAACACATTGAAACATGACCAAAAATCAAGACCTGATTCCCACACACCATCAGTCTGTGGCATTTTTCTAGCCGAATCGACTTCTGATGGCCCTGGGGCCCGAAACCTGGCGAAATCGCCTGGCGCGACAAAAACTGCGACGCCTTGCCTTCAGGGTTCTGGCTTCCAGGACCATGCGGCCAGGAACTTTTGCTTGACGTGTCGCGGCGGCGGCCGCGGCGACGCGCCATGCCTTGCAAACGGATGGCGTCCGCTTTTCAATTTGGAGTCCCGAAACGGTGCGGTGACAGACCGTGCGGTGACCTCGAAAGCCTCCAAGACTTTAGCGCACGGTTTTTGGACCCCTGATGCCCCAGTCGCCCGAGACGTCCTCGGAGAACGACCCGAGTCCCAAAGCCGTGCGGTGACCCCGAATCCCCTCCGACTCACCACACGGTGTGGTCACCACCCCCTTTGGGGGCCCCCGATTCAAGGCGGGAGGCTTCGAAACACTCGAGAAGTTGGCGCTTGGGAGCGGGGACGTGGATAGCGTGTCGAGACGAGGCGTGGTGGGCCAGACCCGGCGGAGCGACCCGCTACGGTCGGGAACTGCTGCATCATAGCGTCGTCGTCGTCCTCGTCGTTGTCGTCGTCGTCGTCGTCGTCGTCGTCGTCGTCGTCGTCGTCGTCGTTGTCGCCATCACCATCACCATCACCATCACCATCACCATCACCATCACCATCACCATCACCATCACCATCACCATCATCATCACCACCACCACCACCACCACCATCATCATCATCATCATCATCATCATCATCATCATCATCATCATCATCATCATCATCATCATCATCAGCAGCATCATCATCATCATCATCATCATCATCATCATCATCATCATCACCATTATCAGCGTCAGCATCATCATCACCATCATCATCAGCATCATCATCATCAGCATCATCATCAGCATTATCATCACCATCATCATCAGCATTATCATCATCATCATCATCTACACCATCAACATCATCTTCGGAGGAGGAGGAAGCAGGAGGCGGAGGAGAAGGAAGAGGGAACAGGAGGAGGAGAAGGAGGAGGAGGAGGATGAGCAGGGTGGGTGGTGGAGGAAGGACGTGAACGACGAGGAGGAAGAGGAGGAGGAGGAGGAGGAGGAGGAGGAGGAGGAGGAGGAGGAGGAGGAGGAGGAAGAGGAACGAGGAAACTGCTAAGCCCCGCCCCTGCCCAGGAGACCGCTGGCGAGCTCCCCGAGCGCCCACGCATCCGGGCCGGCGGCGAGCGCGACGGCTCCGGCGCGGCCTCGCGGACGGCCCCCGGTGCCCGCAACGCGCGAAGGGAAATGGGAAAAAGGGGAGGAGGGGAGGAGGGAGGGAGGAGGGAGGAGGGAGGAGGAGGAGGAGGAGGAGGAGGAGGAGGAGGAGGAGGAGGAGGAGGAGGAGGGAGGAGGAGGAGGGGAGAGGAGGCGGACGAGGAGGAGGAGGAGGAGGAGGAGGAGGGAGGAGGAGGAGGATGAGGAGGAGGAGATGAGGAGGAGGAGGAGGAGGAGGAGGAGGAGGAGGAGGAGGAGATCAAGGCCAAGGTCGCCGCCGTTAGGGTTTTTGTTTGTCCAATGGCTAAATCACATCGCTGGCCCCTTTGTGTTGCTACGGAAGGAGGCCCCATGGACCGTTGCCACTCATGGGATAATGCTTGGGGTGCCCCTCTGCCTGGGTGGTGTTCCAGGCGAACGATTCCCCCGCTAGCATGGAAACCTTGCTTAAAATCGCTTACTCGAAAAAAAGGGAGGTCGGCGCTGCGGCTGTGTCGCCCACCGCGCACGCCTCCCACAGGAATGCCAGACAGTTGTTGGTCAAACGCCAGTTCGAAAAGAGAGCTCTCCCTCCGCACCCGACCACTCCGCCACCTCCACCACCCCCTCCAGATCCGACGCGCCAAATGCGCGCCTTTGTGTGGCTTCTGCGTTATGTTACAAGTGTTGGACCCGGTTTTTCTCTTTTGCAGCAATCACGTCGTGTAAACAGTTCGCTCACTGTTTAGCAAAAAAACTGTCACGAACACTGGGACATGTCATCGATCATGTGACATTTGTTGCTCGGCAACTGCTAAAAAAACAGTGCGGTTCTAAGCCTGAATCGTCTCCCATAAATCGTCCTCTGCGAAGTGGGAGGATGAAAACGAGAACAGGAATAAACGATTCGACGTAGTCGGTTAATCAACACTTAGGTGGCCCGTTGAGCTCGCCCAGCCTTGCTGAACAGCTGCAGTCACAACCCGATTGAAAGGCGATTGACCTATTCCTGCCTATGGGGGGCTGGGGCCAGGGACCAGGATCTCTGACGAACTGAAACTTTCAATCCCGACGGCCTTCCCTCGGAAGCCCAAAGGGGCCCCTAAATCAGCGAACTCTGATGAAAAAATCGCGCCCACGCTGGCTCCCAAAACGGCCGTAGGGCCCCCAAGAAACCACACAAAACGCTCAGAAGAAGAAGCCGCCGGAAGGCCGACGAGAGGCGCCCGGGCAATGTCAAAACCGCCGCCAAGAAACTCCCGAGGGGCGCCCCGCGCGATCCCAGCAGGTATCCGAGAGGCCGCTAGTACGCAGCCCAAGCGCTGTGGCGGAATGTGCCGCAGCCCACTCGATGACTGAATGCCCATTCGGCGCTCTCGGCCATTTGCACAACTTCGTAGACTTATCCGCGCAGCACCGTTCACAACCACAACCAACTCGTATTTCGCCCCGCGTGTTTCTCGTTATCATCGGCGCCCTGTCCTCCTCTAACTCCGTCCCTCTCGCTTTTCCTCCCTGTCCTGGTTTTCCTCCTTGTCGACCTCACCCCCTCTCGCCTTTCTCAAAGTCAGCCAACAGAAATCCCCACCATCATCACACAGCCATCATCCCCCTCCTCCTCCTCCTCCTCCTCCTCCTCCTCCTCCTCCTCCTCCTCTTGTTTCTCCTCGTCCTCATCCGCATCCTCATCATCGCCATCATCCGCAACATCATCACCGCCACCGTCGCTATCCTCATCCTCCTCATCCTCATCGTCGCCATAACCATTCGCCCGCATCGCCGCTACCTTACGCGATCGTACCATCAACACTCCACTCATCATCATCATCATCATCATCGTCGTCACCATGATCATCACGATCATCAACGCCATCAATCTCAACACCGCTCATCATCATCATTACCACCACCATCCGTATCATTTCCACCATCCGCATTGCCACCATCATCATCACCAGCACCACCACCACCACCACCATCATCATCATCATCATCACCACCTTGCTCTTCCCTGCAAACCACCTGGGATCTGGCGCGAGAACTCCGGGGAATAAGCGAAACCCAAGCCAACTTGGGCCGACTCATTGCGGCAAGCACTCACACCACCTCGGCGGAGCGGGGCAGCGGGAGGAGGGAAGCAGAGGAAGGAGGGAGGGAAGGTGGAGCGGAACGGAGTGGGGTGAAGCGCTGGTGGGGTGGAATGGGGGGGGTGGAGTGGACGGGCATGGGCGTAACAAGAGGGATAGGGAAGAAGGGGGGATATGGGGGGGGAGAAGAGAGATCCGCCGACCCCCGCTTGCTGCGAGTGTGAAGGCGTGTGAAGCATTTGGCTGTCCCCCTCCCCCTTTCCCCCCCTTCTTGGGGCCCAACATCCCACTACGAGCTCGTCAACGCACCTGCGGGGCCCTCGGAGCCTCTAAATGCACCCTCCGCGGCCGCCAACATGCTCAAAGTGCTTTTAGAAATGGCTCCAGAAGGGCTCCAGCACGCCGGAGAATCCTCCACAGCGCCCAGAGTTGCCCCAAGACGGCCCAGGACGCCCCCAAGGCGCCCCAAGAGGGCCCCAACAGGACCTCCAAGAGGGCCGCAAGAGGCAAGCTGCCCAAAGAGGGGGAACTCGCAGGGACCCAGAAATGATGGGCCTGTTTTTCACCACCACCACAATAAGTTGGAGGGGGGGGGGGAGGGGGCCCTCCTCCTCCTCATCCTCCTCCTCATCCTCCTTCCCCCTCCAGCTTCTTATGATGGTGGTGGTGGTGGAACAGGCCCATCAAGTGAGCCCCTCCGCACAACATGGCCCACGAGATCCCCAGCAACCCCCAAAAGGCCCCCAAGGACCCCAGAGGGCCACCGCAAACCCCCAGGGCCCTGAGGAGGCTCCCAGAGGCCGTCCCCTGGGCCTTCCAGGGGCCTCCGAGAAGCACGGCAACAGATGCGAGGACGAGGAGGACGAATCAGCAACAACTGCAATCATGCAACACGACGGGACGCGGCAAGCAATACACACGAAATCTGAAGTCGCACGTACCCTCTTCTGGAAGTCGGCGGAATGGCATAAGCCGCTTGAGCAGAGATGCGTTGCGACTATCAAGGATGGAAGCAGAAAACCACTGTAAAGACCCCTGGCGGGAGGACGTGCCCGAGATCTGAAATCCCCCTTTTCCATTTCCAGCTCCCGTCCATCTCGCGCTTCCTAGCCCTTCTCCTGGACGCTTGTTTTTGCCACTCCACTTGGGCCGGCAATGCATGGCAAGGAAGATTACACCATGAAACAAGCTAATCAGTGCATGCATGACAGTGTTTAACATGACGCCCTGGCATGGTCTGCGGCCGATGGGAGGGCGCAGAGCTGGCAAGTGTGTTTGAATATCACTGCGCACGGCATCATCGGCCAGCATGGCGTGGCCAGACGCATGCAGGTTAACGCCCTGGGAAGCCTGCAAGGAAGGAGGGATGGACGGGGCTGGAAAGAAGAAGGAAACGACGGGGAAGTCAGGAACACAACAGCAATGAGAGTGTGGATGGGGCAGACCAGAACGACAAATTGGTGACAAGACCTTCCTTCGTGTCCTACTCCTGCTCCGTCCACTGTGGTTCCTCTCTCCCCCTTCCGCCCACGAAAACGCACCTCGTCTCTTCGCTGTCCACCTCGTCCTCCTCTGGCGCTTTCTCACTCCGCCCTCGGCTGTTACCGTTTCCCCTGGGCTGCACCGCTCATCGTGCGGGCAAGGCGCACCGTGCGCTTCGCCTGACAGCTCCTCACCGCCTGTGCTGATGGCATGTGACATGCCCCGCAGCTGCACGGATGGAGGGCGAATCGCCCGTAGTCGTCTTACAGACCAGCCGCTGCACGGACGAGGGTCGATGTCTTCAACAGAAAAATATCGCGCTATCGCCGCCCACGCTCGGCCTAATCTGCCCAAGTTGTACACAAATAATCGATATGGGGCGAACGGTCTCAAAATCCGGTTCTCGCTGCAGCGCTGCGAACACAACAAAATGCCGAAACCTTACAACAACTGTATAGCTTCTTTCTGGACAAACAAGATCAACAACACAGTGTGAGATTCCACAAAACGCGGATGGCGGGCGGCTCCTGTGATGTTGGATGTTTCTGTTCCTTATGGCCAAGCATGGACAACTGGACAACAAACAAGGGATGGAGGGAGGGTGACAATCGTTGCAAATCCTCCTTTACGTTGGGGTCATATTTGCGTATCGAAAAAATGAAGCAAATGTCTTGTCTGCTTGTTTCCCCCAAAACACATGTATCGCATTAACGGCATGCCCATGGGGCACCAGCCTTTCAATGGGAGCCCATGGGGAAAAGAGGTGATCGTGCGGACATACGTGGAAGGGCACCTGGAAGGAGGGTGTGTGACAGGATCGTTGCTGCATCCTGGGTTTGCTTTGGTCCTCCTCATTATCCTCCTCCTCCTGCTCCTGCTCGTCGTCCTCCTCCTCCTCCCCCTCTTCCTCGTCATCCGCCTCTTCCTCCTCCTCCTCTTCTTCCTCCTCCTCTTTCTGTTTCTCCTCCGTCCTGTCATCTCGCCGATCCGCCTCCCCTTTTGTGGGACAGGAGTTGTTGCTCCCAGCCTCTCCTGGAAGGTGCTCGTGATATTGACAGCGAAGCGCAGCATTTGGAGCGACGAGGGAAATCGGCCTTGTGGCCCCCCAAAGACGCGCGGCGCCCTGCAAGCGGACAGCGTACTGCCCCGTTCCGCGGGGCGGGAAGTGGTTGGCGTGTCGAAGCAAAAACTTGTGGTGGGAAGCGGCTGGAAGTGGTTGGCGGGAAGTGGTTGGGAAGCGGTGGGAAGAGGTTGGCGGGAGTGTCGCGCCGAAGCGTGGCGACGCGCTAAGCAAACATTGTTGATCGTACCTTCCCTCCCCTCCCCACCCTCCCGTCCCCTCATCCGGCCCCTGACCTGGCTTACGGATGTTGTGCGAGAGCTCTGGGGACTGAGAGAAGTCCGAGCCGATTTTGGGCCGACCCAGTTCGGCGGGCACAGAGGGGAGCCTCGGCGCGGCGAAGCGATAGAGGAGGCAAGGGAAGGCAAAGAGGGGGAGTATGAGGAGGAGGAGGAGGAGGAGGAGGAGGAGGAGAAGGAGGAGGAGGAGAAAGAGGAGGAGGAGGAGGAGGAGGAGCGAGGAGCGAGGAGCGAGGAGAGGAGGAGGGGGAGGAGGAGGAGGGAGGAGGGGAGGAGGAGGGAGGAGGGAGGAGGAGGAGGAGGAGGAGGAGGAGGAGGAGGAGGAGGAAGACTAAAAAGATAACAGATACAAGAGAAGCGCGCGGGCGACCGCTGCGATGCTCCAGGCTCCGAGCGCCTCGCAGCACTGGGGACTGACGAGCAGGGGCGAAAAGGCTGCGACGAGGATCTCGAAAAGGACACCGCCCACGACCTGGGAAACCCTGCCACGCAGCCCTACGAGCTCCAGGAGGAAGCCCTGTAGGTCCACAGTTGGGATGAAGAGGAGGACGATGAGGGAGAGAAGAAGGAAGTGAGGGCGAGGGAGGTTCCGAGAAGGGGACGGAGAGGGCATTGCAGCCGTGACCTCAGCGGGGCGCACCAGTCAAGGAGGGGCCAGGAGGCTGAAACTGCGGTGGCCAAGTCAGGCCGACTGTTCGCAGGCAGGGATGGAGCGAGGGGGTGGAGCACGGAGGACAAGGGATAGAGAGAGAGAGGGATAGAGAGAGAGAGAGGAGAAGAGAGGGAGGAGCGTGCAAACACCGCCGCCGTGCGTCCCGCCATCAGCCATGGCCACCTCGACCCCCCACCCCCAACACACACGCTGCAAGCGCGCGATCGCACTCCTCGACATTAGCCGAGGAAGGGAAACGACAGGAGGGAGGGTGATTAGGGGACGGGAGAGGGGAAAAGGTATACAGGGAGGAGGGGTGCGAGGAGCAGAGGTGGAGGAGTCAAGCACCCTCATCGCAGAAACGCAGTGCTCCCAAACGGAGAGGCACCACGTGGGAGGCCGAAATACGGTGGATAGATTAGATGTGAGCTCACGAATTTGGCCATGGGCCCCCTCCTCCTCCTCCTCCTCCTCCTCAGCCACCTGCTGATGCTGCTGCTCGGCCTCCTCCTGCTGATGCTTCTGCTCCTGCCCCTCGCTCTTTTCTTCCTCATGCTCCCCCTCGTCCTTTCCTCATCCCCCTCCTTTTCCTCATCATCATATTTCCGCTCACTCTCCCACTTTCCCCATATCCTCAACCCTTCTTCACACAACATACAAGTTCTGTCATTGCCCAAGCTCATTATTCAAGGTCACTGCATTGCCGCGTACGATACTGTGTATACCAGATCGCGGAAAACTGTCAGATCTGGCTGGTAAAATCCTGATGCGTTGGTGAATAACCCTCGTCCCCCCCTCAGCCCTTTCCTCCGCCCTCCGCCTCCTCCTCCTCCTGCTCCTCCTCATCCGCCCTCGCCTCCATCCCTCTCCATTACGAATAACTCCTCCACGTCGCACCACCAATCGTGTGGGTACAACGGGCCCGGCGTTTCGCCGAGAGTTCCTCACCGCTGATGATCACGAAGCGTGACATTCCCGGCAGCCGCGCGGATGGAAGGCGGAATGCTCAAAGTGTGGCTCTCGCCATAGTGCCACACACCTTCGCCTTCAGAGTTTACCACAACTGCAAGGATGGAAGGTCAATGATATACAGCATGTCTCGGCTTCTCGCCGCATGCCGTTGGCTGCTGAAATGATGAATATGAATAAGGATTGAAGCCCTGAGTGCACGAGGGTGGCTCGAGGAACAGCCATGGAGGGACATGAGAAACATCGAGCCCCTTCCGAATCCAAACCGTTCCGTAATCAAACGTCCCAAGCCACCACAAGGGTGGAGGCGGGCTGCTTTCAAGCTGCGGCTCGCGCCCGGGCGCTGCGCACATGTCGTCTCAGTTTTGCAGTAGCTACAAGGATAGAGGACGAATCATGTTCAAAAAAGTGCTCAAGACCAGAAACGACAAAGGTGCACCAGCAAGCAGGATGGAGGACGGTTACACAAGACTTCTTCGGTGCACGCAATTACACGGACGGAGGGCCTACACGGATGGAGGGCCACTCCTGTTCAAAACGGGAATTCCACTGGGCACGTCCTTGAACATTAGAACTATACCCCTGCGCAGTCGGCATAACTAGACGGATGTATGGCGGCCCCATTTTCAAAACGGAACTATTGTCAGAATGGCAGGCCCACGTGGCGCTCATCTATCAAGGGAACTCTGGCTTCGGGAAGAATGCCAGCAGAAACTTGTGAGGTGGGGACCCTGGGACAGGCGGAAGCACTGCAACATCGCTGATGCACTCTGGGCATGCTTCCGTTCTCTTCCACCTCCTCCTCTTCCTCCTCCTCCTCCTCCTCCTCCTCCTCCATGCTCCTCCTCCTCCTCCTCCGCCTCCAACCTCCTCTTCCTCCTACCCCTCCTCCTCATTCTCCTCCTCCATCTTCCTCTTCCTCCTGCCCCTCCTCCTCCTCCTCCTCCTCCTCCTCCTACTCCTCCTCCTCCTCCTACTCCTCCTCCTCCTCCTCCTCCCCCCCCACCCCCGAGATGCCGACGCAGCGTTGGTCAGACAACGGGCCCGGCAGCCGCGGGGCGCGCGCGCGCGCCTCCGGCGCGGTCGGGCAACGACAGGTGCCCTGGCCGCAAGGCCGCTGGGCGCGGGGTTGCCGCGAAGCCTTGCGGCGGGGGCGCGGAGGCCCAGACTTCTGGCGTATGAATCAGCCGCCTCCTGCTCCTGCTGCTGCTGCTCCTTCTCCTGCTCCTGCTGCTGCTGCTGCTGCTGCTCCTGCTGCTGCGCTGTGCTGCTCCTCTTCCTCCTCCTCGTCCTCCTCCTCCTCCTCTTCTCCTCCTCCTGCACCCCCTCCTCCTCCACCCCCCCCCTCCCCCCCTCCTCCTCCTTCTCCTCTCCTCCTCCTCCTCCCCCTCCGCCTCCTCCTCCTCCACCTCCTCCTCCTCCTCCTCCTCCTCCTCCTCCTCCTCCTCGTCCCTCCCCCCTCCTCCTCCTGCCTCTCCTCCTCCTCTCCTCCTCCCTCCTCCCCTCCTCCTCCTCCTCCTCCTCCTCCTCCTCCTCTCCTCCTCTTCTCCTCCTCCTCCTCCTCAACCCCTTTTCTTCCTCTCCTTCTTCTTCTTCTTATTATTTTTCTTCTTCTTTTCTTCTTCTCTTCTTCTTCTTCTTCCTCTTCCTCCTCCCTCCTCCTCCTCTCCTCCTCCTCCTCCTCCTCCTCCTCCTCCTCATGCTCCTCCTCCTCCTCATGCTCCTCCTCCTCCTCCTCTATCATCCTCCTCCTCCTCCTCCTCTTCCTCCTTCGTTCCCCTCCTCCTCCTCCTCCTCCTCCTGCTCCTCCTGCTCTTACCTCCTCTTCCTCCATCTCGCTCCTATTGCCCTTTGTCTTAAAATTAGCTCCTCCTGTCGCGCCTCGAGAATTGTCGGTCGGGCGAGGCGTTCCGCCGCGCACAATCGTCTTCAAACTTTGCATGGGTCTCACTCTTGGAAGGCGATCCGTTTTCGAAATGGCTCTCGCCTTGGCGCCGCGTACACGTGTCGAACGAAGTTGCAATGACTTCATGAATGGTTTGAACATGTGGCTCTTGCATTCGCACCGCGCACATTCATCTTACATTTGCAAGCTTTTCACAGCTGGAGGACGGATTACTTGAACATGTGGCTCTCGCCGTAGCGCAGCGCACGTTCGCCTTAAAAGCTTGCAGGGGCTTCACGGACGAAGAACGGTTCCTTTCCAAACTGTGTCTCTCCCCATAGCGCCGCGCACATTCGTCTTGGATGGAGGGCGGGTCGTTTTCAAAATGTTGTTCGCGTCAAAACGCCGAAAACAGCCGTCATAAAACAATTCACGAGATTCACGGATACAAAGCGGGTGTTTTCAAAATGTGGCCCTCGCCTTAACGCCCCGCATTTTCGTCTTCAAAACGTGCAGCGACTTCGAAGAGGATCACAGTTGGCCTCTCAGAAATGCTCTTGGCACGATTTAGGAGTGTCAGGGCGCAATCGCTACGTTTAGTCGCGATGTTGAAATCCCGCACGGTTCAGGATCACCTGGGCGCAACAACACAAAAATTGACTCGCTGCATTGAAATCCAAAAAGCTGTGCTTTGACACTCGTAAGGGTTCTCGGACGGCTGTCTTCCAACAGGGCACTTCGCGCAGTGAAGACACATTCTTATAGGGACCTGCGAAAAGGGAACTTGGAGGGAGGGTTGATTGTAACATCGTTGATGCGTCTCGGATTTGCCCTGGTCCTCTCCCCCTCCTCCTCCTCTTCCTCCTCCTCCGCCTCCACCTCCGCCTACACCTCCTCTTCTCTGTCCTCCTCCTCCTCCTCCGCCTCCACCTCGTCTTCCTCATCCTCCTCCTCCCCCATCGCCTTCCTCCTCCTTCTCCCTCCCTCTCTCGTTCCTCCTTCGGCCACTGGGGTGGGGGGCACTGGCTATGCCTCCCCGTCCCCCATTTCCCCTCCGCCCCCCCTCATCCCCTCCACCCCCAGTCGGTCGACACGCGAAAGGAATCATCTGTTCTGCCAAGCGAGGATATTTCGACCGGCGAAAATGGAAATCCTGCCCTGCGAACTGGGAGATGCCGCTGGCCGGCGGGCGAGCGGGGAAATTGTCCCCGGCCGAACGAGGAAACAAATTCGGGCGGGCGGAACAATGATTTGCGCCGAACGAGGCAATTTACAAACGGCCTCCAGACACCACGGATAACTACACACCATCGACGACGGCCCTCATCTCATCAATGCCGCCGAAACCTCACGGCCCGTGAGAAACAACGAAACCCGTAAACGCAGCCGTTCTTTTATGACCCCCTCTGTAGCATTTGAACTTCCCTCATCCGCTACACACGACTGCATAATAATGCAAAACGAGCGCCTAAATAACACACGCCTGCCCTAATGTTGAACACTCCCCCTGTTTCCAACGAGCTCTCGGCCACCCTTTCGGTTTTCTAGCAGCGACCGTTGATCAGGCGAGCGCTGCGCCGAGGAACCGCCCATCACATGATCACAGAAGCCGTTGAACGAGGGACCTTTAGGAAGTTGGAATCGGAAGCTGCTGCTGGGATCCCCCAGACACCACGGAGCGAAACCCGAGCGCCCGCGGAACACAAGGAGGCCCCGTAAACGTCGCCGTTTCTCTAGACCCACTCCTGCCTCCGAGCTCACCGCTTCCGATACTAAACGACTACATGCACAACGAACGCCTGAATAACACGAGCCTGCCACAAGGTCGAAGACTCCTCCCTGTTTTAACGGAGCGCTCGACCAACCCGAGTTTCCAACTCGAAAGCTACAGCCGTTGATCGAGCGAGCGCTACGCCAAATCGCAACCCGTCGCATGATTGCAAGAACCGTCAAACGATGAAACTTACGGACGCTGGAATGGGAAACTCCTGCTGAAAGCCTCCAGACACCACGGAGCGAAATCCGAACGCCCGCGAAAAACAGGGAGCCCGGGAGCCCTGTGAACGCAATCGGTTTTCTCGGCCCCCTCAACGCCCGTCAAGCCCCCCCCCCCTTGCAACGCACAACGACTACATACGAATGCAAACCGAGCGCCTGAACAACGCGCGCCTGCGCCAATTTGGAAAACGGCCCCTTTTCCCCCTAACTTTCGGCCGCCCCGGGTTTTTCAGGGCAGCAGCCGTCGATCGGGCGAACGCTACATCAAAGAACAATCCACCACGCGATTACAAATCACGCGCGACATGGGCGGCAAGGCTGCGAAGCCCCCTTGGCGCCAGGGCGCGCGCCAGAGCACGAGCCGATCTTGTCGCGACGTCCTTCTCGGCTCGGCTCTGGTGGCGCGCGTGCCCCCTTTCCCCCCGGAGCCGAAGAGCCGCCGCCTCGAATCCCTCCTCCCTCCTCCCTCCTCCCTCCTCCCTCCTCCCTCCTCCCTCCTCCCTCCTCCTCCCTCCTCCTCCCTCCTCCTCCTCCTCCCTCCTCCCTCTCGTCGACGCGGCGTGCGCGCGCGGCGCGCGAAGGTCGGCGGCCGGAGGCGGGCGGCGGCGGAGGAACGCCACCGACGCCCGGGGAGTCGGCCGAAGCGGGCGGCAGCGGGCGCGGGGCGCGCGAGCGTCGGACGGGAGCAACGACAGGGAAGGGCACAATCGAAACAGATGGTGCGGATGGGCAACCGTCCCAAGGGTACTCCAGATTTCGTAATAAAGGGAGGGGGGTCTCATTTCGGGGGGGGGTCTCTTCCAGGCTATCTTGGAGGGCCTGGGGGGGTCTGGGGACGATGTTTTGGAGGGTTCTCCCAGGGGGGGGGTCTAAAACTTCTCGTCTGGGAGGGTTGAGACCCCCTCTCTTTTATTACGAAATCTGGAGTACCTTTGCGTCCGCGCCTCGCCTGTCCCTCCTGCGCCGCTCTCGATGGCCAGCCCCGCGCGAAGAGCCTCGACGTGGGCGCCCAAGGGGGCGGGGCTTGCATCCATATCGCGCATCCTCACTGTCAGTTTCTACTGCGAACTCAGGGGTGGGCGCATCGACCTACAATCGCCCACCGATTGCCGACGGGGTCTGACAGCCCCCACCCCGCCCAAGGACCGTGGGACTTGCCATCAGGGGGCCTATCGCCGATCTGTCGGCGATGTATTGCCGATTCTAGAAGAAGCGAAAAAGCCATAAACATAAACTTTTGGCGCTCCGCGCAGATTTCTTGCATCCGCGCTTGACCCCCCCCCCCCTGGCGTGCGGAGCGCGCCAGGGGCGGATCCAAGAAATCTGCGCGGAGCTCTACAGGTTTATGTTTATGGCATCTTCCGCCGGCTTCCGCCGGCCTCCGCGGCCTCGCTTTACTTTCGCGGCTTCCGCCGCCGTCTGCTGCGGAAGAAACGGCAGCTCCTCTGATCCTCGCAGGCGAGGCCAGGCCTCGAGCGCCCCAGTTGCTGGGAGCCTCTGCCCTGCAAGTGAAGGCTGCACCCTGCCTGCAAGCCACCGCCGCGGACGCAGTTTTCAAAGCTGGGGCAACTCACCTGCCAGTCGCCCCCAGTTGATAGGGGGGCCCAGCGTCCTCCTCTTGGAAACCTTGAGAGGTGGATCCTAGGCGATGAGGCTACTGAGGTGAAACTGAACATCCAATCTGACCTATATTTTGTCCGCTCGGATCTCCGGAAAGGCACCTGACAAGGGAAGCATAAGAAGAACGCGATCGGATAAACGTTCACTAGCGCCGGGCGCGCCGATCAAGATTCGTAAACGTTGCCCCGAGACAAGCGACGGCCCCAGACTCGGCGAGGACTCATAATTTCAGCAGGGCGAACGTGCAACCGGATGCACTGTGCGAGCTGGCTGCCCGCCCGCACCGACGCTGCGCGGAGACCGAGGAGGCGAAACACCTGGAGAGATGGCAACTCCTTCGATCCTCGCACGCGAGGCCCTTTCCGGAGCGCTCCACTTGGCAGGAGCCCGTGCCCTGGACAAGAAAGGTGCGCCTGCCTCCTCGTCAGCCTCCACGTCCAGGTCTTGATCCTCCTCGTCATCGTCCTCGTCCTCCCCCTCCTGCGCCCTCCTCCCTCTTCATGCGCTTTTCCACCAAGGACGCCTGCAACATCCATCCTTTTCCGCCTCCACTCCACCCTTTCCTTCCCTCTTCCTCCTCCTCCTCCTCCTCCTCCTCCTCCTGCATCCAGGGACACCACCAGGCCAATGTAATAAGCCATCAGAATCACTCCCTCATGTTCCTCCTCCCTCCCCCCTTCCACTCCCTCCCCCTCCTCGCCCTCCTCTTGCCCCCATCCGTCACTTCATCCATCCTCTCCGAGGCTGCGAATATCCACCGCATGATCCACACACGCACGCACCAAGAACCTCACGTTTGGGGCACTAACCCGCAAAACGGTCACGCGGCCGCGCATTCAAGTTCCGGGACGAACCGAAACAGGCCGCTGCTCTAAGTTCGGAAACTGCAACCGAATGCACCCGCCCGTGATCTCCAGCGGTTTCCAATCCTAGGGCAGCCAGCATCAAGCAGCACACGTGATAGCACATTCGAACCAATCCTCCGTCGGCCAAGACAATTTCCTCGCTGAACTGGAAAAATGTCCTCGCTCAATCGGAAAAACTTCCCTGAAGGCCCCAGAGAGTGTCCCCGTTCGCCCGGGCAAATTCCCCCGTTCGACCGACAAACAAATCCCCGTTCGGGGCCGAATTTCCCGGTTCGCGGCTGGATTTGCTGGTTCGCCTTCCCCCCCCCCCCAGTCCAGATGACCGCCTCACCCTTCAAATATGGGTTTAGGCACCCTTCAAGCCTGCATATACCGAGTTTGGTAATCCTCGTCTGTCCCCCTCCTCCCTCTCCTCCGTCCTCCGTCCTCCGTCCTCCTCTTCCTCCTCCTCCTCCTCCTCCTCCTCCTCCTCCTCCTCCTCCTCCTCCCCCTCCCCCTCCTTCTCCTCCTCCTCCTCCTCCTCCTCCTTCTCCTCCCCCTCCTCCCTCATCCCCCCTCTTCCTCCTGTAGCTGTAGCCGTTGACTTTGGAGCTCCTCAGAACGCGGCCATCACCTCCCCGCCGCAAGCGCGGTCGCCCCTGGGGGGGGATGAAACTAATAGCACAGCGACAGGGAACCACGGGAGGCAAGGATGACACCCCAGGGGCGGAGTAACCAGGTCCTCTGCTACCCCCTGGGGGTGGAAAGGGAGAGGGGAACCACGACACGGCGACGACGCAGGACGGCGCCTACGTAAGCTGAGGAGGCAGGGAGACGCAGGGGCCTAAGTTGCGGCCAGGGACAGGCGGCCAGGCTGCCCTGCGAAAGAAAGACGGGGCTGCGAGGCAGCGCAGTGGCGAAGCTGGCGTGGGGGCGCGGGCGGAACGGAGTGGCGGGTGCGGGTGTCGAGCGCCCGTGCGCGAAGGGTGGCGGTGGGGAAAAGTGGTGGAGCGGGGGGGCTGGCAGCAGTGGTTGCGCCGCCGCCTCCTCCTCCTCCTCCTCCTCCTCCTCCTCCTCAGGTTGCTGAAGCTGGTGCTGGTGGCTATAGGACCGTCAGGCGGCGCAGCCATCCCAACCCCCAGCGGTCGTTGCTGCGGGGGGGGGAGGGTCAATTTCCCTGGCGGCACTCTGTCTCTGTCACCAGGGAGAGCGAAGAACATAAACAAAAGTTGTGTCCGCTGGTGGTGGTATTCTCGCTGAGGCAGCCCGCCAGCGGTGGTCTTCTCGCTGAGGCTGGGTCTCAGAGTGCTCCTCCTCCTCCTCCTCCTCCTCCTCCTCCTCCTCCTCCTCCTCGTCCCCCTCCTCCTCCTCGTCCCCCTCCTCCTCCCAACTCCCTCCTCCCTCCTCCTCCAGGTTCCGTCCGCGACGGGCCCGCCAGTTCTTCTTGGCATCGGCCCGCGCTCGCGCCGGGCCACATGCGCGCAGCCCCGCGGGCTGGGATTCGGACGGAGCTGGTGGCTGCGCGCCACGAGCACCCCCTGGCCGGCGCAGTGGCAGCAGCCGCACCGAGGCCGCCTCTCCGCGCCTCCGCGCGGAGAGGCTCGGCTGTGCGGCCAATGGCCCGCTGCCGGCCTCGCAGGGGTGACGTGGCCGCACCTGCTCGGGCGTGCGTGAGGCCTGGCCCGCCGAGGCGCTCTGCCACTCCCGGGTGCTCACCCCTGTGTGCCAGGCAGGCTGTGCTCGTGCCGTGGGCCTCGCCGGCGCCGCTGGGCTTGCTCGTAAAGCTTGCTTAGGGAGCCCACAAAGGACGCACGCGCCCAACTACGTACACGAGCACGGCCCCTCGATCCGCGAGACCGGCCGCGTGATGCGAACAATGGCGCTTTGAGTACTCTCGAAACCAACGTGGATTCATGTACGTGTACGTCCTTCTTCCGCTCCTGATTGCTACCGGGCGGGTGGGGCCGCCTCCGGCCCACGCTCCGCCGCCATGTCCGGCTAGGCGTGTCCAGCCGCCGCCAGCCACCTCGCCACATACGTCGACGCGCGCGCTCCCCCTGTGACGTCCGCCGACATCTTCATGACCGAGGCCGACGCCATCTGTTTCAAGTGCTGGAGCTCTGGTGTCTGCTGCCGCTGGCGCTGCCAGAGACCCCGACGACCTCGCCCAGGCCCGCACCGACAGCATTGCAGTCGGCACCGTCACCAGCTCGGGCTACTTACGTGGACTCGATGACCAATGTCAATGACTCCGTCTTCCCACGTACCATTTGTCCAACCCTTTCGCGGCGGGACTTGCCCCCCCTAAAAGGGCCACCCGCTTCTCCGGGCGCTGCGCCCCCGGATGCTGCCAAGCTGACCGCGTTCGGCGCGCCCGCGTCTGCTGCGGAGCCGCCGGATTAGGCTCATCCTGGTGATTGGGCCTTTCGGCCAGGCGTTCCTGGTGCTGCAATTGCTGACCGTGGCATCCCGCGTGTTGCTGCCGACTCCGTCCGCGACTGCCGCGCCGCATCCCGCATCTTCGCGGATGCGGAGACCCAGGCAGCAAACGAAACTAATTACTGGTCGTCTATCGTTTGGCGATCGCGGCGACGACGTGATACCTTGTGGTGGCGTCTCGGATCGTGATCCACTTGTCGCAATGTGCCGTGAGCGCATTGTAGAGCTGCCCTCTAGCTTGCTTCCTCTTCACAAATATAACGTGGATCTGGGAACGAGCATGCATTGGAAGCGGATGCGTGTACAGCTTGTGCCCATCGATTCGACTCGAGTCGTCTGCTGCCTGACAATGCGCGAAAAGGTTTGTCTGATGCATTTGCGCAGGTGAGTGCGCCCAAGACCTCCTCGTGTTCCTCCACCTCCACCGCGACCTCCGCCCATTGACGTCGATGCCGCGCGTGCTGAACGAATTGTGGACTCCCGCTTCTCCCGTAGACGGTGCGGCGCGCGGAGCCTCTCTTCAGCCCGGAAGAAGCTTGCAGCTACAGGCTCCTGCCGTTGGCAAAGCTGCTGGCCGTATGGTTGTTCACTTTCCTAGCCTACGCCACACCTGCCCCTGTGTCGCACCCAGGACTACACACGCACGTGTGCCTTCCTGGCTGACTTGGTGCCCGTAAGTAGCCGAATACCTCTCGCTGTCCCGTGGTGCTCTGCTTAGCCGCAGCGCCGCCGCTTGCGCTCAGGCTTTCTGCTTCATCGGCGTCGCAAGCCAAAAATCCTCCTCCTCCTCCCCTCCCGCTCGCTCCTCACTCGACGACCCCCCGCCCGCCCCATGTCCCGAGCTTGTGGCAGGGTCATCAGCTCGTCGCTGTCGTTGTCGTCGTGGCCGTCGTCGTCGTCGTCGTCGTCGTGGTCCTTCTGGGTCGGCGGCACCGGCCGTAAGGCCTTCACAATCCTCCTCCTCCTCCTCCTCCTCCTCCTCCTCCTCCTCCTCCTCTCCTCCCTCCTCCTCCTCCCTCCTCCTCCTCCTCTTCCCCTTTCGCTGCGGCAGAAATGCTCGGGCCGGTAGTCTGCTGTGCAAGTGGCGAGGGGGGCAAGCCCGGGCGAGGCTGCACGCGGGGAACATCGCGCGAAGCCCTGCGAGGGGATACGCATGCACCACGTCTGCGAGCGCCTCCATGTACGGTAAGGAGCTTGTGCTCGGCGTGTCGCGGCGGCGGCCCCGGCGGCATGCTGCGCCATTCGAGCGGATCGCGTGCCTCTCCCCTCTCGCTCGCTCCTCCTTCGAGGCCCCCCCCCCCACCCCGGAAGAAAGCCGCAGCGCACCGCCTGCGGCACAGCGGCCAGCCGCCGCGCACACCGCCGCGGCCGCGGCCGCTGCGCAGGCTGCGAGGCCGCGGCCGCCGCGGCGCCGACGGGGGCCTGACCCTCCCAGCTGCTGCTGGGGGGCGACAGCTCCTTGTCCCTCTCCTTCCTCCTCCTTCTCCTCCTCCTCCTCCTCTTCTTCTTCTAATTATTATTATTCTTCTGAGTAGTATTACTACCATTCGTATTATCATTATTATGATTATAGTATCATTATTATTAGTCTTATTATCATTAGTAGTAGTATTATTAATAGTATTCGTATTATTAATATTGCGATGTTTTAATTATTCGTACT